TATTTCTATTGACTAATCTGAAGTTTCAATGCACTGTAATTCGTTAAATGCGTACATTAAAAATTATTCTGTCTTATAAATTGCTGGTTTTTAAGCAGTTTTGAGTGAGAACTACTTTGCGTTGTTAGGTCTGTTAGGAAATTTTGTGTTAGACCGTGGATGTTAGCTATGTATTTACTGATCTCGCGATCAGAAAATACAAAAAAGTATTTTAAATTTCAATTGAATATCTCAAGCAATAATTGAGATATTTGACTTAACAAAAAAACTTTAACCAAAATTTCTAAGTTCCAAAGGGGCATAATTCTGTCAGTATTGTAGGCAGAGTTATCCAACTTGTCAATCTGATGTACCTTGTTACTATAAATAAGTATTGTAAGTTTCAATTGAATATCTCAAGTAATAATTGAGATATTTGACTTTACAAAAAACTTTAACCAACGCAGACGCCGACGCTGACGCCGACGCGACTACAATAGCTCTCATATTCTTCGAATAGTCGAGCTAAAAAGCGGACGGACGTGCCACTTAAATGGACTAAGGAGCCATTTCTTTTGTTATTTTCTTTTGTTTAATAGAGGGCCATGGCCCCTTATTCTATTGGTACGGAATGAACTCTATTGTTCTCTTTTGTTCTGTTTACAGTTAGATGGCCCCCTAGGCTACTTCTCTTAAATAGCCCGGACAGTCTGACGGACAGGAAGACAGACACGGCTGTGACCATATGTTCTCTCTTTGGGGAGCATAAAAACAGTACCATTCATTAGTTTTGGTAAATACAATAAATATTCCAGGTTGTAACTTACAAACATCTTGGGTCATCAAGACTATAAATAAAACAGATGATTATGTGTTAATTAAAAATTTATTGAAATGTAGTAAAATCAAAACAAACATATGCTGAATATCATTTCTTTTAAGTATTGTTCAAATTTAACAAACAAAACATTATCAACTAGCCGTAATAACGGTGGAGTACTCAAATATTTATAACAGGACTAAAGATTTTTCACCTCCGTACTTTATAAACACTTTTAATCTGACAGTTTATCATGTAGGTGTTGTGTTGTAGTTTTTAATTCTCTATATACAATGATATAATAATATGCAACCTATATCGTATAATATAGCATGTATGGGATCAGCTAGAATTTATTCCAAACACCACATGAGCAGACTGGTGAGCAGACACTATACTCCTGGCACACATTAACTATATCTACATTTAACATTCCAGCAATAGGCAGCAACAATTATAATAATTCAAGCCATTCTACTTTACAATTAGAATACAATTATTAAAGCATGTGAGTTGCTTTTCACCCTGAAGAATGTAGCTCTCAATGTGAAATAATTATCTATTATAAAAGTAGAAAAATTGTAAACAAAGTATTGTTTCAACTTCCATACCAAATAATAAACTTACTGCAAAAAAAGCAATTGAAGGCAAAATATAGTTCAAATAATTGGCCAACGAGTAGTTCATTTAACACCATAACAGAACACCAAAAATAGGAAGCTTCTGAGAAATAACAATAAAAACATATTTGGGGCATAATTAGCCTTTAACAATAAAAGAAGCAATAAAAACATTATGATGATATACATCAAGAAATTCAAAACAACAGCAGAGTATCAAAACAAGAAACAATTTCTAAGATTACACATTTCATCAAGGAAGGAAGAAAAGAAAGAAAGAAGGAAAGAAAGAAAGAAAGAAAGAAAGAAGGAAGGAAGGAAGGAAGGAAGGAATTGGGTATCCAAAAGGTAAACAAAATATAAAATGGTAACAAAATTGCTTAACAATACTAAAACAAGAGGGCCATGATGGCCCTGAAGTCGCTCACCTGTATATAGGCCCCCGTAGCGGGGCCAGTTTAAACCCCAGGGCTTTTATTTGAAAAAACTTAGTAGACACCCATTAGAAGATATTTCATGCTTAACATCTAAGGTCTAGCTGGTTTTTTTCTTTACACATATAGTTCAAAACAATGACACACATAGGGCAGGGCCAGTTTTGACCCAAGGGCTTTTATTTAACAATCTTTGTAGACACTTACTAGAAAATGTTTCATGCTTAATATCTAAACTCTAGCTATTCGGGTTTTTTCAAAGAAGATTTTTAATTTTTGCTATACACATATAAGGAAAATCAATGCCCCGCGGGGCTGGGCCAATTTTGACCCCAGGGCTTTTATTTGAACAAACTTTGTAGACACTCGCTAGAAGATGCTTCGTGCTTAATAACTAAACTCTAGCTATTTGAGTTTTTTCAAAGAAGATTTTTTTAAGTTTTTGTTATACACATATAAGGAAAAGGAATGACCCCCGGGGCGGGGCCAATTTTGACCCCAGGGCTTTTATTTGAACAAACTTTGTAGACACTCCCTAGAAGATGCTTCGTGCTTAATAACTAAACTCTAGCTATTTGAGTTTTTTCAAAGAATACTTTTTTAAGTTTTTGTTATACACATATAAGGAAAAGGAATGACCCCCAGGGCGGGGCCAATTTTGACCCCAGGGCTTTTATTTGAACAAACTTGGTAGACACTCATTAGAAGATGTTTCATGCTTATTATCTAAATTCTAGCTATTTGGTTTTTTTCAAAGAAGTTTTTTTTAAGTTTTTGCTATACACATATAAGGGAAATCAATGAACCCCGGGGCGGGGCCAATTTTGACCCAAGGGCTCTTATTTGAACAAACTTGGTAGACATCCATTAGAAGATGTTTCATGCTAAATATCTTAGCTCTAGCTCTTTGGGTTCTTTAAAAGAAGATTTTTTTAAAGTTTTTACTATATGCATATAGGGAAAATCAATGACCCACTGGGGCGGGGCCAATTTTGACCCCAGGGCTTTTATTTGAACAAACTTGGTAGACACCCATTAGATGATGTTTCATGCTACATATCTTAGCTCTAGCTCTTTGGGTTCTTTAAAAGAAGAATTTTTAAAGTTTTTACTATATGCATACAGGGAAAATCAATGACCCCCTGGGGCGGGGCCAATTTTGACCCCAGGGCTTTTATTTGAACAAACTTGGTAGACACTCACTAGAAGATGCTTCATACCAAATATCTAAGCTCTAGCTCTTTCGATTTTTTAGAAGAAGATGTTTAAAGTTTTTTCTTTTGGTTGCCATGGCAACCAGAGTTCTGCATGGAATGGAATTCTTTGAACAACTTTGTTAAGGCTTCACACAAGGAACATCCCTGTGAAGTTTCATTATGATCTGCCTTATGGATTCAGAGGAGATGTCGTTTTAAAAGTGTGAACGGACAACAGACGACGTACGACGGACAAAGAGTGATCCTAATAGCTCACCCTGAGCATATGCTATGGTGAGCTAAAAACTCATCAAAAACATCAACTTCTTTATGTGCTATTTCTGTGCGCATGCATGTGAACTGCTGAACATATTAAAATAGTAAAAGAATAAATTTCATTGCCATTCATTAAATTTGGGAAGACGATTTTTGCCGATAAAATATAACATTATATATACATTAAAATGAAGATGGGAGGTAATTCATGTGAACTTATAGAAAAAGGGAGGCAATTCAATGACGTGATTACTGTGATGTCAAATATAAAATAGTACAATATGAAGGTGACTTAGTGAAGAATATCAGTAAATCAAAATATAATTCCTGTAAAGTTTGGAAGAAATTTGCCTAGTGGTTAATGAGGAGATGTTGTTTAAAGTAAAATTAAAGACAGACAGAATCACAACAAATGAACTAAGATGATAAAATTTCTTTATAAACAAAAAAGATTAAAAAATAAATCTCATGAAAAAAAAAAGAAATTTCATCATATACTGAAATACACATTCATATCAGGAAATAATAAAATCTAGCACATTATAAATATTCAAACCCTACAAATATTACAATTAGATTCCGGTCATACTTGAGAATTATTTCCCTAACATAAGAAACAATCTTGCAAAGTTTAATTACATTCTGATTAGGCCATCCTTAAAAAATGTTTGTTTGCAGTAACCCGACCCAGAATTTTCAAGGTGGGTAGGTAGGTCGATTTTTTTTTTATTGAACTGTACACCCAAATAAACATGGAATTTCAAAATGCTGGACAATATATGCTTTGATAATCTGGTAACAATTAACCCTTTCACTGCCATAGGGACGGCTTAAGCCGTCCCTGTTATTTTCGGCGTATTTGCCTTATGGACGGCTTTAGCCGTTTCTATAATATTGATAGTAATAATAATAAATTAATAATAATAATAAAAAATAATAACGAATATAAAGAAAATTATACGATCGACAATAATTATTATTATACTAACAGATTTGGAAACTTATATAATTATTATAATACTAATAACAAATAATAATAATTATATTAATTATTAATATAGTATTTTTTTAGAAAATCCTCTGGCAAATAAGTGAACAATGAAACAATAACCCTCTGGCAGCGAAAGGGTTAATAAATTGATAACTGAATTCTAATTTGATAAGACCTACATTTTATTTCTTCTATTAACCTTTAACAGAACGAAAACAAAGCACAAGGCATAATTTTCTGATTCAAAAAAAAAAAAAAAAATTATCCAGACCATGAAAAAAAATTTGAATAGGGGCAAATTTTGTGAGTCGGTTGCATTACTGCAAACAAACATCTTTTTAAGGATAGCCTAAATCACTTGTAAAATTTGGCTAAAAATGGCGATTTGGCCTACAAAATGAGCAACATTTACTTGCCACATTTATTATGTTTTATGTTATATACATTCATGATGAGATTCATAACAATCTTATAACCACTATATTAGGTGGTTTCTTTAAAAATGTCCTTTTAAGCAACTTAAAGAGCCATTTTTCAAAACTGCATGTTAAAAACATGTTAATATTTGATGAATTTGATCATTCATTTCCTTTATTATATAGAGTTGTTTAGTTTCACTACAAAGTATTCAGTCAGATGTAAGTTATGGCTCAATATGGCAATTTTCCCTTTGATTTTTAAAAAAAAAATATTTTATAAGGCCATTACTGAAAAATACCTGAATGTATTTGTACAATGTATGAAACTTGGTGATCCTTACCTCTTTATTGCAAGATTTCAAGAAAAAATTGGACAGAGATATTTTCAGATATGGCTATGGACAGATGAGCATAAGGTAGTTCTAACAAAATGGCACTTGGACACTTAAACCCTTTAAAACTTTACCGAGTGAATAGCACCAAATGAAAATTTACTGTTGTCTGTTATTCACATAGCAACAAGTATGTCTTATCGTGGTCAGACTGACAAAAAACAATGCTTTTTCAATATCCCATTTTCCATTTCTTGGTAGGGATATCCCCCATTTCAATTTTATTGGCAGGGGATAACAAAATAAATTATGTAACCCAAAAACCTTATAGGCAATAGGTAAGAGTCTAAAATTTGCCATTGCTTAATGAAACAAAATAATATAACCTATCAAAGTGGCACTCCTCAAAATTAAGAAAAATATTTACTACTTAAAAACTGTTAGTATCAGAATAAATGGAATTACTCCATACAAGTGTATTTTGACAAGTAATATTTATTTTCCTTTCTTAAATAACTTAAATTGTACATAAAATTTTGACAAACACCTGTCATCAAAAGAACAATTTTCTGATATTAATTTTTATAATATAACCACAAATCTAGAAGTATAATAACAGTTGCTTTAAAGATTAAAATTTAAACACACCATTTTTGTTTATTTAAGGTATACACTTCAAACACAAACAAGATCAAATAATACTTATATACATGTATATATGAGCCGCATCACGACAAAACCAACATAATGTGTTTGCGACCAGCATGGATCCAGACCAGCCTGTGCATCCGCGCAGTCTGATCAGGATCCATGCTGTTCGCTTACATACTCTATTACAAATAGAGAAACTGATAGCCAACAGCATGGATCCTGATAAGACTGTGCAGATGCGCAGGCTGGTCTGGATCCATGCTGGTCGCAAACAGATTATGTTGGTTTTGTCGTGACGCGGCTCAATTATATTTATCTATTAATAGTTACAACAATAACATTCCAGGTATAAATAATTCAACTAATACTAGTCATTCTAGATAATCAACAAAATAACAACACATAAATATTTTAAAAAGACATGTCCATCTTTCAACATAAAGCCTTGCCGGATAAACTTATCTATCTCAAGTCATTATGTCACATGATGACGTCACATGTTTTGCAGCAAAACAAAACTACATCTACGCTGTTTTATCAGGGAAAAGTAAGAATGATAATGTAAAACAAGATTAAAGTAGACAAAACAGGATAAATCAAATACATGGTTGATGTTGGGATAGAGGAAGGTCTGGTTTGCTGTGAAAGTGAATCTTGGCTCGCTAAAGCTCGTCAAACTACACTTTCTCCCTCACCAGATAAACCTTCTCCATCCCGACATCTATCACTTATATATACATGTAACTGGTTCACATGTAAGCTAAGTCAATGTCTGATCAACAAAAGTATGTGGTGAAATGCAAAAAAGTCAAAGAAAATACTTACTAATGGATGAAATGAAAGATATTTACAAGTATTGACTTTATAATTTAGCTTGTCTAATTCTATGGCACTCCTTGATTGGCTTAATATTTAAGGATAACATGTATTGTCCTATACTTTTATGGCTTTTATTGTTACTTTAGCATGGCTTTTATTGTAATATACTTTAGCATGACTTTTATTGCTTTTTACTTTAGCATGGCTTTTATTGTAATATACTTTAGCATGGCTTTTATTGATTTATACTTTAGCATGGCTTTTATTGTAATATACTTTAGCATGGCTTTTATTGTTTTATACTTTAGCATGGCTTTTATTGTAATATACTTTAGCATGGCTTTTATTGTAATATACTTTAGCATGGCTTTTATTGTAATATACTGTAGCATGGCTTTTATTGTAATATACTCTAGCATGGCTTTTATTGTCCTATACTTTAGCATAGCTTTTATTGTTCTATGGTATTGCGGGATCTGTTCTCTCACAACATTTTGTAGGAAGATCATTCCAGTTATAATTATATGAAAGTCTGACTCTATTCTCTTTGGCACACAATCTCCCAAGCATTCCTAAGTTTTTCTGCAGTTCCTGTAGCTCATCCGCAGATTTTTTATGAGTGACAAGATACGAGTTGTAGCATCCACGAGATTTATATTCAGTGTCAAAGTTCACATCATGAATTCTGTTTATATCAAGAGGTCCTAACCAAGTACCGAGGGACACATCTTCGTTATTGAGCTGTTTTAATATATCTGCATTTTTCGCTACATAAGTTACTAAATCTTTTGAGATCACATATCCTCCTCCTAGAGCGTATGGCAGGTAACGGTCACATAGAACAAAATCTTTCTCCGACCATTTTCCAGATCTTTTAACATGGGCACGACCATCAAAGAAACCCCAATACAGTTTCTCTTGCGGTTTCGCCAGCAGTTCTTCTAAAATGTTTTCTACTCGTACAAATGAATCTTCATCAACCTTCATTAGAAAGTTATATTTCACATGTTTATCTACCCATTTTAATGTTGACAATAATTTCTTAGTCAAACTACTATATGACTCTTCAATATCATCTAGCAATAATAAATCCCTATTTACTTTATTCTCCTGTTTTACATTTTCTAAGGTCTGCTCAGGGAGGTTTTTACGACCAACCACAAATCTCACTGATGCACCATTTGGCAAGGTGTTAGCCCATGTTTCTCTTATTACATTCCTAACATCAAAGTGTGTTGGAGCTGACATTACAACAATAAGTAAATTTGTGGCAAATATTAACTCTACATTGTTGTTTGATAATTCACTAATGTTTATCTCCCTTTCCCCTCCTACCTCACAAGGTGTATGGCAAAATGTAAGAAGTATCAGTAGTGAAATAACAGCAAGGAGTCCGAACAGCAAGGCTGACGAGAACCTGCGTTTGAATCTCATCATTAACATTCGGACAACCATCACTGTGTTTGATTAAACAATGCATTACAGTGGTATTAACATCAGTATCTTTATCCTTAGTGCCGTATTATCCTCAATATCTGTATATTCAGTACATATCTACAGTCAGTACAGTTGTTCAATACAGAATAAAACTGTTAATCTTGCTCCAAGTTCAATCATGGTAACCTCTGATGCAAACAAATCTGAAAAAACATAAAGATAGATATGTGAATATAAGGACATGCTAATTTATTTTAATGCTGTATGCCTTCAGATAAACCAAAATGTTTTAAGAAAATCATATTTTAAGAAAATCAAACTTGAGAAAATTGTACTAGGATTTTAAGATAATTATAAAGATTCAACTTTTAGTTTCAAGTAATAATAAATTATTACTTGTTATGTGCAATTAATGACTGATTTTGCAGTATTTATTACCATATTTCTACTGGGTTTCTAATACAGTTTCACAGTGACGGTATGGGCTGTTTTTGCACATAATAATTTATTTAGATTGGAAGCACCGTTGTTTATTGTTCCCTACACAATATTTTTTTTTAAATACATTTTCAAAACTTTCATGAAAATAAACATGAATATGGAGGCATGCTTCTTTAACCCAGTGGGCAAGGATGACCTAGGGACCATCACAAGAAATGTTTATAAGTTCTTCACAGCAACTGAAGGTCATTAGGTCATGCTCAAAGTCATCATTCAAAAAATCAAATTTTGATTTCACATTAGAGTGTACAAGTGGACCAAATCACAGATGTTTGGGGGTCCCACTCAACCAAACAAAAACAACAACAAGAGGACCATGATGGTCAAGAGTCCCTCACCAGAAACATCTGCTTTTCAGTGATGGAAATTATCCATTGTCAATATTTTCTAATATTAAATTTGAGCTAAGAATATGTTTAAACAATAATTTGAAGAAATGCCATGACCTGGGGCTTTTAAGCTCCAATTAATATGTCAGCAAACTTGATAAAAGACTACCCAAGAATACTACAAAGTTTGGTGATCATCTATCAATTATTTCAATAGGAAATGCCATGTTCAAAAGATTTTCTTTTTTTAGCTTTAATATGAGCAAACTTGATAAAAGACTACCCAAGAATGCTACAGACACAGGTGATCATCCATCTATTAATTCTATAGAAGAAGATGTTTAAAGATTTTTCTTTTTTTTTAGCTCTGTTGACCCCTAAAAGGGGTCAATTGAAATGAGATTAGCAAATTCAATTGGGACTGTCACAAGGATGCTACAGACCAAATTTGAAGTAAATCTGCCCAGCAGTTTCAGAGAAGAAGACGATTGTTGACGCATGACGCCGTACGCCGGAGCATCCCCCTTTGATACTAATAGCTCGACCTGAACATTTGTTTCTGGTGAGCTAAAAATGATACCCCTTGTTAACACTAATTACCAAAATTCTTTAACGCTGAAACATGAAAGGGACTGGTTTTCAAACAACTTTTACAGAAATGAAAACAAAACCTTTTACCATCAAGTCTCAATAAATTATACTTAATCATTGAATGCTGTTATGTTATTTTTTTCAGTTCTTGCACATACTAGTATTAAAGGTGATTATGGGCTCGGTCTCTGCAGGCTACAAACTTAAAATCAAACCATTGGCACTTTCGTTACTTCATGTGCATGTCATATAGTAGCAAGTGTCTTAAAATTTTGGACCAATTTGGCTGTAATTCTTGATTTGGATTCTTATAATGATTTACAGACAATTCAGCCCTTAGACATTTCGCCACAATTTGAATTGGCAGTGGCTTGCTGTAAGGGCCTGTATTGCTAGCCAAAAGTTCTAGCCAAATCTATGTCATGTACGACTAGACTATACATACTGTTGAGGCTAGCCGTACGGCATTTTAAAGATAAATTACCTAAAACAATATTGAATATGCAATATTGTTTCTAAACAGATTTTATTGAATATCATGAAAACTTTATCAATTACATTATATATATTAAATTTTGGCATTTGATGATGGGAAGTTTTCTTTCCTCAGAAAATCACAGATTTAAATAAATAAATTCCGTGAGAAAATACAAAGAGAAACAAGAAATTATCATAGTATTGCAAGCAATCCATAAGACCCTACCGGTTATAACCCCAGCAACATTCTGAAAGGCCAATGGCCATTCACTTATGTTTCAATTTTTCTCTTTAATAAGAACATTTGTTGGAAAAGTTCTTTAAAAGTGATCACAGGAAACAGCTTTTATGAACAGATAGACTAAAGGACACTCTAAAGTTATTTTTTTAAACATCCATGTTACCAAAATATAACATTTTTAAAAGCAAAATTCCTAAAGAGGAGAATAACGTCCACTGGCTCTATCGTGGACGGGACGGCGATATATAATATTTAATACAACGGTGGACGGTGACATAACAAAAAAGGTTTTTAAATTCTTGGCTAAACAGCGATTCCTAGCATTTTTGAACAGCTAATACTTGAAACAAATACATGCTTACTTCCAGTTTCATTATTGCAGCAGGTCCGTCGTTTGCTGATAAATGTTTTCCCGGAAATGGAGGTATTTCTACAACTCCGTGTAGCCCTGAACTGTCGGCTGCAAATATATTCATTTGTACAAGTATAATTTACGGAATTTATTGTGTGTATTCTTAAAGTGATCTTAAAACTCCAACATCTTTTACAGTTATGATTTTCAATCAAGATTGTTTAATACCTTACCATGTCCAAAAAAAAGACTATACTTCAATTATTTGCAAGTATATCAATCAAACATTAGAAGATAACTTTGCTTTCACTTCCGTATTAAAATTTTGGGTGATCTATTTTTGGTAATGTGTAGTAAATTATATGCATATACACGCTAACCTTAAATGACATAAACTAGATCTTGGCATTTTATCATAGTTTAACTGACTTTACAAACAAAATACTATTTCATTATAAAAAACAACATTGTATATTACGGGTAACAATAATAAGGCATAATATAATAAGAGCATTTTTTAGTAAGTTGCAACATCTACCGTTGGAAAGATTATTGGTTTTTGTAACCAAAAGTCTATTTTCCCACAATTTTGCACGTGCATATTGGGCCTATGTGCGTCATATGCGTTTTCCATCTTGAAAGAAAAATTAAAGTTAAAGTAATTGTGCGCCAGTTGGATCCCGTACGGATGAAAAACCTGGCTTTTCTTGATCGAGACCCTAGAGACATGACAGAAATGTTCACAGGCGGTGAAACGTGGCTTTATTATTATTATTGTTATTATCATTATTATTATTATCATTATTATTATTATCATTATTATTATTATCATTATTATTATTGTTTTATTATTATAATTATTATAATCATTATTATTATTTTATTATTATAAATATTATAATTATAATTATTATTATTATTATTATTATTATTATTATTATTATTATTATTATTATCATTAATATTATGATTATTATTTTTTATTATGATTATTATAATTATTTTAATTTTTAATATTATCATCATTATCATCATTATGATTATCATTGTTATTATTATAATTATTATTATAATTATTATTATTATCATTATGATGATGATGATAATTATCATCATTATGATTATCAGTATTATAATTATGATTATTATTATCATTATTATTATAATTATCATCATCATTATGATTATTATTATTATTATTATTATTATTATTTTGAGACTGACAATAACCTCAGTAACAAATTAGTGGGTAGGTGAATACAGCAATCGCCCAGTTGTTGCTCGACGTGTGGTTGGCCAACTAAAATTACTAATCAGTCTTTCGGAAGAAACTTTAAATCGGGGTCCTGAGTATGAGTGCCTAAACATTTGGCACGCTTTAGAACCGGGAATTGGGGCATCTTTCTGTATCTGTAACTTGGACTATCCTCCAAAATCTAAATGATTTATACTCTTCTGGAGGATTCACCCATATGGGCAACCGGTGGCGGTATTCACACACAAGGCTTTCTGGCTTTGTGGTAAAGACTTCTGGCACCATATAGTAGTTTAAAGTGGTAATGTTTATTTTAAAATTTAAAGTACCCGATTATATGTTACAAAGATTTAGAATTTAAAAAAATAAGAAAAAAGAACAGTTCAAAGTGAAGTATAAATGTGTCCCTTACCGGTTGGTTATATATACATGTCACATCTAAAAAGAGTAAATATTTATGAAATATATCAAACTGTGCACAGGCTTTACTCCGTTCAAATGGAGAGAATTTAGCCTTAGAATTTATTAAACACTAGCTTCAAGGTAAGTAAACATTTATCCATTTCAGTTAACACATTCACATTTTTATGAGATGCTTGTATATTCGTTGCCAGGCGTACAAATTATAATACACTTACGTGGCGAAAGTAATTCGTCCCCTGCAAAATCTCCATAGGGATTTGTTTGTCGTCTGATTTGATGCCGGATATACCCAAAATGTAATTCTTGTGAAGGTACTTCCCCGTCGAAACGACATTTTAGGTACATTGACCTTACAGGCTCAATCTGATAATGCTGATTTTCATGAACAAAAGAGCCAAACTGGAAAAAATGAGATGAAAAATAGTAGATAAATATTATTGTATGATATAAGATATGATGCCATGTTGTACCATTGGTTACCCAAGTGCTTCAGTTACAAATTACAATTAGAAATTGAAAGTAAGACTGAGTTGTTCTTTTAATTGTTAAATGTGACTTTTGATTAAACTGTCAGTACATTAAAGCTAATTAGACCAGGATTTATCATTCACTTGATTTTTTAAGTAGCTTTAAAGTGTGTTTGGTTGGTTGTGAAGTGACACAATGTGTTAAAGTTTATATCATTCTGATCATTTCTCCATTTTAAACAACGATATAGATAACGGTTGTAATATTTCTTTATAGATAAAAAGTTAATATTGTTTTATACGCATGAAATCTGTGACTAATGGATTGGACAAGTGGCCTAGTAGAATCTACATAATGTAAATATTTTTGCTTGCTTTATCGACATGTTCTGAACTTGAATAAGGACATTTGATGATCACAAAGGCTTTTAGGGTCTCATCCTGATAAACACCAAAATTCACCTGTAATATCAAATAAGCAGATTAACACAAAAACTCATTTTAACGAAAAATAAGCACATAAACATCGACATATTAACGTGAAATGAAAATTTGGCACTTAAA